AGTTGCAACTTTCAGGTCCACAGTTAGTCACTTCAGGTCTGAAGCTAGTTGCAACTTTCAGGTCCACAGTTAGTCACTTCAGGTCTGAAGCTAGTTGCAACTTTCAGGTCCACAGTTAGTCACTTCAGGTCTGAAGCTAGTTGCAACTTTCAGGTCCACAGTTAATCACTTCAGGTCTGAAGCTAGTTGCAACTTTCAGGTCCACAGTTAGTCACTTCAGCTCTGAAGCTAGTTATAATTTTCAGGTCCACAGTTAGTGACTTCAGGTCTAAAGCTAGTTACAACTTTAAGGTCCACTGTTAGTAACTTCAGGTCTGAACAGTATGTAACATGAATGAAATAAGCCATATTAAAATAGGTTCAAATCCAGTTAATTATGTGTATTATTATCACATTTTCATGTATTTACCACTGTATACTTTTGTATCTTTAGTGTACTGAAGATGGAATTTTGAAGATTCTAAAACGTCTAATAAATGCTTCATGTAATTTCGTTTGTGTTTCTCTTTTTTATCAAATTACATAATCACTTCTAAGGATATCCATGTTGAACGTGTTGGTAATCTGTTCAGATTTAATCAGAGAGTGACTGGTGATTTGAAGTTTTTTTCATAAGTAACATCCTATTCCATTTTTTTTATATACTGTAGTTTCATTAAGTCTTTCTAGTTTTAATGTTTGAAGATTATTTAGCCTTCATTACTCAGTGTTTAGACTTAAGACTGGCAGAGCCTCGCAAGATAATGTTGTGAGTATGACCAGGAATACCTTTATCTGTAAGGTTAAATTATGATTCAGTGCACTCTAATTGTTATAGGATTTATTTTTTATTTATGACATTAAGTATTTCCAGTAAATTTGGAATATATGATTGAATGTGTTACTTGTAAAGTATTCTAATTCTGATCTATTTAGTTAGCATATTTTTTATACAAATTTCTTATAAATGAGTGTTTTATTTTGTGTAAACTGTGTGGATATTGTGGTTTTCTTACTTATTACTGTTTACTTGTATCATTACACTTCCATTTGTAGTGTTATTACTGTTCAATTATTAGTAATGTTTCCAAGAAAATACCTTACTTCTGCTCACTTGTTATTCTTGTTCAGTGCTGTCCTCTTTTTGCAAAAGGTTTTTGTTGCTACAAGCCTTTCACTTCTATGTATCTCTTGGTTCACATGGTTTAACTGAATTTGCATCCAACTTATTGTGTGATCCACCAATAGACATGCCACACACACACATGTGACTCCCTCTATGCTATTCTACCTAATTATCACTTCTCGTTTGGAATTGCTCATGTTCAGACATTTTATTTAGTGCTCTCTTCGAAATTTGAATTTTTGTATCAATTATTTTTCAAGTTTCTTACATATTTTACCTAGTTTTAATTTGTACCTCATTCAGTTGTGGTATTATTTAATTTTATACCCAGTTATGGAACTTAGTTATTTTTCTGTGTTTTTCTTTCTTTACCAACACAATTGTGTTTGGTTCACATTATGAATTCTGAAGTGCAATGCAAGTTACCATGTTGGAGATTCTACCTGTATGTTTACCCAGGCTTCAGATGGGGGGGGGGAGACTTGACTTTGTAATTATGGATAATTATTCATCAAGAGATTCATCATTTTAAACTAACCTTCTTCTCATGATGTTGTCTAACTTCCTCCTGAACAAGCAGAACCTATTTGGGATGATAAACCACTTGGCATCCATTTTTCTCCACCTGAAGTTGCCGCGCCTTCCAAAGTTCCTACTGTGGGTGGAGTTAGGCCTTATACGGCTTTTTTGGACATGATTTCCCAAGGTATGTTCAGTTTTATCCCTCTCCTCGATTTCCTTTAATCCTCTACTTTTCTTGTTACATGATACTCCTTCCTCCCAGTATTTTGTGTTTCCACCATCTCCTGATATTGGAGTTCATGCTGAGCATTTTGTATCTCAGTTATGTAAGGTTACTAGCATGCCTCTCCCTCTTTGGGCTTTAGATCAGTTTGTTTCAGCCTACCATCAGGCTGATTTTCCATTCCTTGATTCTTAGCAGCTGGAATCAATTTCACCTGTCTAGGTAGCAGACCCTGATTGTCCTGTTCTTTTGTTCCAAGCCCAATTTTCTTGCCTTCGTATTACCCTCACATCTATATTGCAATACTTGTCTGCCATACACCTCCTCTCTGAAGAGGTGATCCACCGAGATTTCGAGGGTTTTTCAGGGGATACATTTGCCCTAGTTACATTCTAGTTTGCCCCTAGGTTTTACCTGAAACACTTGTCATCAACTTCCTCTCCCCTTCTCCATTGTCTCCAATACCTGTTTCCTTTCCCTTGCCTTGGGATCCTACCACTTTTCAGTGTTTGTCCAAGGCAGACAGGATCTGTGATTCAACCTTCTCCTGGTTTTATTCCAGGCTGTTTGTTGTCCCCACAAAAACTGGAGACTGGCAGCCTGTGATCAACCTATCATGCCTCAATCATTTCTTGGTGCTACCTCGTTTTACCATGGAGTTGTTTCTCACCCTCAGATGTGCTTTTTCTCTAGGTTTATGGATGACCAAGGTTGATGTCTCGAATGCTTATCTCCATATTCCTATATTTTGGCAATAGAGATGCTACCTTCAGTTTGTTCATCACAGGGCGGCTTATGAATTTCACTGTCTACCTTTCAGGCTTGCTATGACACCATATATTTTTCGTTGGGTGGTCAAGGCTTTTGCCAGATTTATGCATGCTCGAGGGTTGATCTTCCACCATTATATGGACAATTGGCTTATGTTGGCTCATTCCGAACTGGAGTCCACTCGACACTTGTCAGTTGATTGATCAAGTTGGAGAAATCCTTCCTTGTTCTTACCCAATATCTTATCCATTTGGGTGTTTTGTTCAACAC